AACAGAAAGTGATATAAGTGATGTAGGTATAACATTGTCAAGATCAAATATTTTATTTTGTGGAAACACCATACATATGTATAATTTATTCTCCAAAGCTTTTGATCCGTAAGCCCTGATCATCATCAGTGGAAATGATATCTCAGATTAAATGTAATCTAATTAAATCTTAGATTTAGTTTTCACTGATGATGATCTGGGCTTACGAATCAAAAGTTGTGGACAATAAATTATACAATAAATTATACATGTATGGTGTTTCCACAAAATATAATATTGTTTTTGCGTTGCTATGCAAACCTATAAAGAAACTAGGATTAAATTAGATTTAATTCCATCAATACATTTACCTTTTATAGGTAGTACTTTAGGAACTAGCCTGTGACACTAGCCTTTTTAGGTACATGCAGATTATCAATTTTAAAAATTGTTTACTTGTTGTTTAAAAATAGGTGGATCAGGAATGTATCATCTTTAAGACAGAGACAGAAGACTCTATGCATATATGTGGGTTTGCTTCTGGAATTTTTTGGTCCTATGTGGGGAGAAAATTAACAAATGTTTGTTTTTAAATACAGTGGCATAGCTAGAGAGGAGGATGCCCTTCCCCATGGCCAAATTATTATATTGGAAAACTTCGCGCCATTTTCCACTTCCTTGGCCGGAACGGAGAGTGACAAACGTTTGGGTCTAGGTAACCCAGCGGCGGATTAAGGCCTTAAAGGATTATCTTAGATTAGTAACAGCGGAACAACTCCAGGCGAGAGTCACTCCCAAGCAAGCCACACCCTTTCTTGTTGACAAATTAACGCAGTTGTGTCTTCATTTAGACAGACAATTGACAGATGCATGTGATGCTATTTCTCGTTTTCGTATTGCGAGGGACCAAGCCTATTTTAAGCCGGCTAAACCCATCTGGGGCATCAGCTAGGCTGGCATCACCAGATGCAATGGAAACATCTCAGGATTAGAATTAGGAATATTGGATAAGAATTGTAGTAAGTATTAATTTGTAAGAATATGTACATAAATGTAAAGGATCGATAAGAGAATGATAGATATGTAAGAAAAAGTTGTAGATAAATAATAAACGTGTCTATAGAGTTGTTTGATTTTGTGAGGAAGGGAGTATGTGGGCGGTATGACATGTGGAACTTTGGTAGTCGGAGGTGGGCTGACCAGTGATTCATCCCATACCTTATTTCAGCTAAGCAAGAAGATGAGTGTTGGGAAATAGAATACTATTCGAAATGAGGTATGCCACTTTGAGTAATTGCTTTTTATCATGTTAAATTTTATGTAGGAATTCTTTTTTAACCCCCATGTATTGTCTTTGTCTTAGCTCTTAGTGAGTGGGAAGCCTTTATTTGTGTCAAAAAATTTTAGCGACATTGCCCTTGGGGTTTCGAAACTGTGGTATTCGATTATTTAAGCCAAACATTTTCAGATCATCTGTTATGTCTCATTTGCAATTCTTTGTGTACTTCAAAAGATTTTTTGTGCTTTGAACTTAGTTCAGTGATTTTTTTATCAACATGTTTTGCCAATTTATCCAACAAAGATGTTTGACTAAATCACTAAAGTGTATTTCGAAGTATGAACACGGTCTCAAATCATTCGAAACACAAAGGAACGCATTTTGGAATGCGTTCCGGCTGCGTTTGGAACATGATTGGAATGCAAAATCAGTGTTCTTCTGAGCAGTGCTGTGGGTATCAAAAAGCAAGGCGATTGGTTTTCGAACAACAGACAATCCCTGTTTCTCTGTGTCCATGGCAAAATTTTTTAAAACTACATCCGAAGATGGATAAGATAAGACTCTACAATAATGTTATGAGAGAAATATACAAGTCCGTATATGTACCATTACGAACCAAGCTTATCTCAGTGGCTAACAACAGTTTCGATTGTTAAAAAACTAGAAACGATTTTGATGAGTTATGAGGAGGGATTGATCCCAAAAGAAAACATTATGGTTAAGAAGTATTTAGAAATGCCTGCAAACCAGACTGCTAAAGATGTCAGTCATTTTGGTCGAGCATTGGAACATATCAAATAATAACAATAATGGAAACTTTACACAGGTAAACCTGTCTTTAACAGGTAGTTTACCAGTGTCTACTAGAATTGGTTACATGTTGTATTTACAAATAAAATGTATTAGAATGATGTAAGTTGTGGGTTATTAATTAATGCTTGATATTTTAGTTCCCTACATGTCACATTAGCATGGAAGTTAGATTCAAAGCCAACAGTAAGTTCCAGTATATAAATACATTTGCTTTCAAGTGATATTAGACGACCAGACCGAAATATATCTGCAGTGATGACTGATCAGCTAATGTAATCTGGTAGGTCAACATAAAGGGTAGAGTTTTTAACAGATCGAAGTGTTGATGCAATACAATGGAGAATCGAGCCATATTGCCATGTAAAGCGACCTTCATTTAGGTAAGCCTTGCCACGAGAACAACAAGAACAACAACAATAGTAACAATGATAAGAACAATAATAATAATGAAAACTTTATTTTTTTTAATACAGGTAAGGTTAGGTAAGTAATTCCTAGGTAAGGTAATCGTAATCGTAAAATAGGTAAGGTAATCTCACTGTTAGGTAAGGTAATATACAATTGGCTACTTGATATAATAATTTGATTATACATTATGCATTATAATGCATTTCCATTTACACAAATGCACAGTATAAACAAATAGAATAGTAAATCTGGGTTTGTCCATTCCCTGTTTCTACAACAAAAAAATGTAATATGTTGACCAAATTGTAATACTAATGATCTTTCTAATGATATATTGTACACCAGCCTTGCTGGATTTTAAACTTTCCAATATAGTCTAGGACCTGTAAAGGAGTTTGTATGCATTTCATTTAGGACAGATTATCTCAACTGTTTTAGGGTAAAATGACTATGGTGGTCAACATGGCATATGTGCCAAAATGTGAATCCGGGACGAAAGTCCTGAAAATGACCACACCCAGAAACGGCATAGTCGACATAGCTCTAAATCCTGAATTACCAAAGCTACAGTCTTCCTGAATTGTTTATATGGTTCAGAATGGTTGCTTTTAGGGGCGGTCACTGGAGGGTGAAATTAGCCTAAGTTTCATATTTTACAAGAAAATGAATGTTTACTATTCCAGGTCAACTGCTAATTATGTATAAAATTACAGATTCACCTGGCAAAGTCTAATTTTCCCTATTTTCTAAAAATTTTTGCCATATGATGAAAAAACATGCTTATTTTAACATATTTATTATAAATTTCCTAGGAAATAACAATGTTTTGTTGCGATACGACATATTTCATTTCACTTACCCCCTGCCATAACACGATTTCAGCCATATTTTGCAAATTTGATCACCGTTTTTCGCCGTCCGTCGCAAGCACCATCCAAATACTGTACTTTAGCACAATTCTAGTGGACTAAAGAATTATTCGACCAATTTTCGATGGGTTTTGAAGTAGTGCCATGTAATATTTTTTCATTTTTGTGTCCCTTGACATTTCATCAATTATGTCGCCATTGCCATGTCTCGTCGCTTTTCTGCACGATAAATGCCAGTTCTTGATCCCCAGCTGTATTTTTTTCACAGCATCGATAAATAATTGATAGTACAATAGCAGCTATCCAAAATTTAAAAGCATTTGTCCCACTTGAAAGTAAAAAACCACCCCTCGTTTATCGGGAATGAAATTCAAATCCGAAAGATTCAAAATAATTTGAAAGTCTCGCGCAAACTCCGGGACGAGCCCTCGTGGACAGCATTCCGGGGGGAAGAAATTCAAGCATACATTTGTTCACAACCACAATCAGTCAACAACCCGAGTAAAATTTGTCCGTTTTTGCTGTTAATATTTCTCATAACAAAATTAACAAGTCTCCGCGTTTAAATTGCATTTTCTTGCTTTCACAAAGCTAAAGAAAAACAACCAGAAATGTATTCGTGAAAATAATTTCCCCCCCCTGCCATGTTGCTCACGAGCATTTGTCGTGGAGTTTGCGCGAGACTTTCAAATTATTTTGAATCTTTCGAATTTGAATTTCATTCCCGATAAACGAGGGGTGGTTTTTTACTTTCAAGTGGGACAAATGCTTTTAAATTTTGGATAGCTGCTATTGTACTATCAATTATTTATCGATGCTGTGAAAAAAATACAGCTGGGGATCAAGAACTGGCATTTATCGTGCAGAAAAGCGACGAGACATGGCAATGGCAACATAATTGATGAAATGTCAAGGGACACAAAAATAAAAAAATATTACATGGCACTACTTCAAAACCCATCGAAAATTGGTCGAATAATTCTTTAGTCCACTAGAATCATGCTAAAGTACAGTATTTGGATGGTGCTTGCGACGAATAGTAAACATTCATTTTCTTGTAAAATATGAAACTTAGGCTAATTTCACTCTCCAGTGACCATCCCTAAAAGCAACCATTCTGAACCATATAAACAATTCAGAAAGACTGTAGCTTGGATAATTCAGGATTTAGAGCTATGTCGACTATGCCGTTTCTGGGTTTAGAAACAAATTGCAAGACTTTATAAATGAAAATAATTCATTTCTTAATAATTTTTCAAGTTGCCAGTAATGGTCCAAATTTATTACCATATTAAGCCGAATTTATTTGGGAATTTTATATGCATGGACATACAGGAAATTCTTGAAAAGCAGCAAACAAATGTTTAAAATTCTCCAGAATTACCTGTGTCCAGCCCTTGACGTACATACGGATCAGGTCGTTTAAGCATGTGTAGTTCACCATTTCGTGTATGTTGTCAACAAACAACCAAACTGGATATTCTTTCTCTTCATTACCCGATAATGGCGATATAGTCTTATATTAACAGAAAGAAAACAAACGTTAATAATGGGTAGATGGTAGAATTTCCATATCATTGGGTAATCAACAAATAACAATTTTCTATCAGTTTCAGGACGAACCTTCAATTTTTCAGACAAGCGCACCACATCGTGATCACTTGAAAGGTCCTAAACAGAAAGGAAACGGTTTACGCATAAATTTTATTCGCTGGATAAATTGCGTTGTACGAAGCATGAATAGCTCTATCCAACGGATAAAAAAGCACTATCCATTGGATAAATTAATACGTTGGTCGCTATCCAATTGATAAAATTTAGGTTTAGGTCGCTTGTACCCTTTAAAAATGTTGCTTCTGCTGCTTTTCTTGAACAAAACAAAAGAGTCTGGCGGGGAATCAACAAGAGCTTGTTCGAAAAAGCACGGGAAAAGATTTTTGTCGGGATAACGTGAAGACAACACAGATGGTCAATCCTCTGATTCTGAATATTACTTACAAAATAATGTTTCGGTCTTTTGCATGATTCATGTAACATGATTAGCGTGGTTGTCTTTCCCACTCCTTTGGCTCCTTCAAAAAAGTTACAAACACATTAGATCACTCAGTCACTAATGAGCGTGCAATCCACTAGAGAGTCTGCAGTCGGATAGGATTGCAAAATTGCCACTTACCCAACAAAACAATCGGTAGAGAGGCCGTTTCTATCCAGGAAGCTATTGCTTCATATACGGGAGTGTTTATAAACTGAAAAAGATAAAATGCAGCCATTAATCTGCTTGCCGTCTGTGATCAGTAGCCAACAGAGCCAGCATATTTTAATTTGTCGATCACATCGTGAAATAACGGCCGGCGACCGGCGGTTCCCTAGCCAAAACGCGCAAACTTCTAGCGCAAACTTTTACCCGACGTCCTAAAAAATCTCAATGAATCGGGTGAAGTTTTATGCGATGAGCAGATGAGCACATGTGCATAACTGCGATGAGCAGATGAGCACATGCTCATAACTGCTCATGAGCACATGCTCATTTGCTCATAAAACTGCATCACTGTTCGATAACAAGCCATTCCCACACCTCCAGTGGTAAGGGAATGAGCTGTCAATTTTGCGGAAGATACTTTAGCCGCGGTTACAATCAGCGCAGACACGAACAGGAACACTGTCCACTACGAGAACAAGAAAGAAACATGTCTGAAACAGACTCGGACAGTCAAGAAAGAGATTTCCAAGATGTCTCGACCACTTCCACTCAGCAGTCTGGAAGTTCAAAGGTGTCTGACTCAGAATCCGAAGAAGAAATGGATCCCTGGATACCGTTAATAAAAGAAGCAAAACAAAGAAGCAACACAGCTTTTGAGGAAATGGAAGAAAGTTTTATAAGCAGTGGTTTCGATGAGCATACCGCTAAAGAGAAAGCTTCCTTGAATGCTATGCGTAAACTCCAGAAAGAATTAGAAAATATCTACATAGAGCGCCTTTTGTGGATGAGACAAATAAAGAAAGATCCCGTACATAAGAAAATAATGCACACAAAAGATGCGTTTATTCAAAATGATGATTTTGACCCAGAAGAAGCAATAGAAGCTGCAGTTGATAAGAGAAAGTTCCTTATTAAAAGGCTTTTAAACGACCACGAGTGAAGATGTGAAAGAAAATAAGGGCAGTGATGATGATGACGATGATGATGATGAAGATTAGAATTTAAACTTAGCCAAATTGTTTACTAAACCTTCCTTAAGGAAACCATGGCAAACGAGCAAAAAGCGATAACGATTTAGAAGCAATTATTTTTTATTGCTGCATGTAACTAATTGCCAGACAATTGCAAGACAAATAAATGTTAAAATCATCTTGCATGTCTGAAATTTCCTTACTCCCCATGCTACGACTAACACATTACCTACAGACGTGGATTTGTTAGCAAAACTCATTTTTTTCGTAATCAAACAATAGGTTAAACTGTTTAATTTATAGTCTATCCATCACGTGGTATGGTAATTCTCCATATTCTGCACACAATGTTCACGTGAAATGTTAACGCGTACATCAGATCAGCGTCGTATACATATACATTGTCTATTTATCTGTATACGCATACAACGCGCATACCGTATACAATGTTCACGTGAAATGTTAACGCATACATTGTTTAATTATTCAAATCCTGTATATAATGCTCACATGATATGTTAATGTATTCCTTATGCATGTGATGTTGTACAATATCAACAGCCACTCGATGGAGCGTGTGCAGACTTAAAAGATCTCGTCGTTAAAACTGTACTCCTAACGTTATCGAAGACTCAGAATAACTTTGAAATGGATCTAAAGATACTGTTGACAAAATGTTTCCCATCTCAAAGTTGGATTCTGTACAAAACGTGAATATAATTTCGGTAGGAAGGGTAAAGTGTTCCATGTGAACGTCAAAGAACCAATCGGGTACAACGTGTACATTGGCGAAACGTCATGGCCGATGAGTTATGATAATAATTGGTGGATAAAAGTCACCGACGGCATGCTGAGACGTGATCAGATGTTTCTACTAAACTCGTTCTTATTTCCCTCAAACATTAATTTTTACTTATTGATTATTGCACATCTCATCAAAATACAACGAACCGTAAGCTTAAGTGACTTTAGAGCAATAGTTAATCGTATCCTAAATCACTATCTACTAGCGGAGTAAACAAACTAAAAAAGGACTATAATGAGTTATTTGCTATTTTTACAGCCTACGCAGCACTAAAACTTTTTTCAAATATAGTATGTCGTGTATACATGGAGTCAAATCTACAGGAACATCGTGTTTGAACCTACTTTTTGTCCATGATTGTAGTCTTTTTTCCGAATTTTGTCCTACTACAAATTTTGTCTACCGTTTTTCTTAGTCGGATTATAACATACAAGTCACAACTAATTAAAGGGTATTGGAAACATATTTTTTCTTGCCGTATATTGATAGAGGCAAGAGATATGTTACAGTACCGCCTGGAATCATTAGTGCATCCGGCCTCGCAAAAACCTAGATTTTATCATGATAAGGGCATGAGGTAATACTTCGACATTATCTCAGTTTTACCCTTGACCACGCTCAAAGAGAGCGGCGGGATACAGTGATGGGAAAGCAAAAATTTTGAAAACTTACGTTGCATGCGACCGACTCTGCCATGATGCAGTAATTGATAATCAAGTCAATCTGAAAAAAAAAACTAAAAATAAATTAAATGGAAAATACATTGTGGCAATGGCATGTAAAACTTTTCTTTTGCTCGACTTTCGAAAAGCTAAAAAACACTCGCTTACGTCTCGTGTTTTTATTACGCTTTTCGAAAGTCTCGCAACATCCCGCGTGTTTCACTACGGACTGGAGTATGTTTCTTTTTATACAATATATGGCGTGTGTTGAGCAGCGAATATTTTCATTTTGAATATTAACAAAATCAAAATCGGAGCACATGAAATTCAATATGGCCGAGATCGGGAGTTGGCATCATTTCATAAATTTACATAGTAAGCTTTTAATTAAACATATTATTTGCTAACATATTATATCCAAAACAAAGTCGAAATCCTCGGTCTCGGTAGTTAACTCCATGGTTTCCGCCATCTTGCAAAAGTTCGCCCGCGTTATATTTCACTAAAACACATCGCTCAACAGGCGCTACTGTGCCTTTAAAATTCCAATTACACCAAGGGCCAATGGGGCCTGCATGTGTAATTGAGATTATATGAGCAAACGTAGGGAGAATATATGGGAAACAAATGGTAAGGCTTGCCTTTCCTCATGCCACCCTCCCCATGTTGAAGACACGAAGTCTTAAGCAAGAGGACGTTTAGTCTTTTTATCTATTTCGGACGGCATTTTGAAACACGTAAGGACAGAAACGTTTCAAATTGAGAAACATATAATGCCACTGATTTAGTTGGAAAACTTTCAGATTTGGAGCGAAGATTTGTAAAATTACAGCTCTAAAGCATTTTTTCTTTTTCAAAATTTAGCAAAACTTTTCAAAGTAGTTCCGCTTATTAATTAGCCGCGTCGAAAGACGTTGGCTCATGTTTTCGGTAGCGTTTTTATTGCTTGGGCTACCCAGCTAAGGCTTGCTGGCCGGCATGCTGTCCTGAAGACTTGCCTGCTTGTTTTGTTTTTTCCTTCTTTCAATTGTTTCTTCGTTAGAATGGGGTCAGTCTTGATGACTACTTCCCCATGCATCAGATCTTTTCCTGCTAATCCCTGCTTCTCCCCTCTTATATTGAACCTGCATGTGGAAAAAATTGAATCAGCATAGATCTTCTGTTGTTTTTTAAAAGTTCAAACATTGTATTCGTTTGTGTCGGGCTCAGCTCTTTGTAAGAATCTGCGTTCGGGTGGCATACCCGCAAATTAAAGCTCAGACAGTATATTAATAATGTTCTAGTCGACTTGCACTTTTAAACATTTTAAAAATACCACGTAACTGGAGGGTATTCATCATGCAGTAAGTGACCATATTTGAAAGTGTCTTAGTCAAAGGCCATATAATTAGTTTATTAAATATGTTTAAAAGTGCAAGTCGACTAGAACATTATTAATATATACTGTCTGAGCTTTAATTTGCAGGTAAATTCTTTGCACAAATCAATCCACTGATGTAAAGTAACAAGCGATTCTTGCAGGTACTTCGATGTGGCACTCCGATACACCATTCGGTGTACCACATGGAGTCGATTCTTTAAACATATTTAAAAATATCAAATGATTTCGTAATTGGTCCAAATTTCTGCCTTGATTATGACTATTGATTTTGTGCACAGAATGTACTTGTTTGCACAGATTAAAGCTCGGACAGTGTCTTTCTGATGAAGAATCAGTTGAAATGTTTAAAATCTAACCACGCTTTCATTGTTTTCTTAAACATACTTCTCCGCTTTGATTTTCTAATAGGTCCAAACTTTGTGATAGGTCCAAACTGTTGCTTTAAGTGCAGATTAAAGCTCAGACAGTAGCTTTCGGTGCATGGAAGAATCGGTTGTAATTTTTTAAATCTCTGTGCCCAAATCAATAGTGATATTCACCCATCCACTGAAAGGTTGTCTTTCCAAAAGCGTAAACCGTAAACTCTGAGCGTGCAAGGGATGATAGGTTATTGCTTACTTAGACCCATAAACTCGGATAAACAATATACCTAGGCTATTGGTAAAACACGGAGCACGGAGCACGAAGCAGAAAATTAAACAACTTACTTTCATCAATCAACTTTCCAAATAGGCGGTTACGTCAAATTGCACTACAAAAGAAGAATAACCAAAGAAACTATTAAACGGGTCAGATCATGTAAAAATATAAAGAGAGGAACTTCACACTTCACTAGCGAATACTGAGTTAATGCTCGAATTCAATGCCAACCTTCGCCAATGGTTTGGTTTCTTTTTTTTTCTTTTTCTTTTTTTGCAAACCCACACTAAAAAAGACAAAATAATCGCTTAGTCAACGATTGTTATGCTTAGTCAAGGCCATACTGGGGTAAAAAATATCATCGAGGATATTCTAATAGTAACTCAGATAACTGTCTGAAAAGTCTGGTTCACACAAATGTCTAAAGGGCAAATTATTGGACGATGAGAAGATAGTAGCGTGCGCAAGAGGAAACCACGATGCAGTATTAAATGTGCATTACTAAAGAGTCTGGATGAAGTCCAAAAATACTTACAAGGAAGACAACGTCTTTGTTTCGATTTCTTCCAGGTGGTTGCGAAGCGGCCCCCCGAAAATTTGCCTCATCAACCTGGCATCTCCCAAAGCACTGTGACGATCTGTGATAAAAATGAATGAAGCATTCACTGGTTCGTACAAGCCACATAAATTTCCTGGTTATGTTGGCACAAAACATAAATTTGTTTACGTCGGCACAAAACAAAAGATCGCGATCCTATAAGAAAACACGTACCTTTAAAGTCTTCACCAGGGAAGAATAATTTGTGCAAACCTTCCATTCCTAATTTCGTTTGTTTGTCAAATATTGGCAAACCGTTTTCTTGAAGCTGAAATGTATAAAAAAGCATTGTCCAATATTCGAGAACACAAATTTCGGAATCAGATGCAGAACTCACCTTTACACAAAGTTGGTATGTGTCCCCCACACGAAGTCTCGGGTACAAATAGCCGGATGAGGCTTTGTGGCGAGAGATGTTGTCCACCAACATCGGAAAGTCCGACCGATTGCCACCATGAGCAAGCAAAACTGAGGAACGAAATAAACTGTTATTTAGGTATTATTTTTTAAACAAATTTATTTTTATACATCATGACAACTCTAGTTAGATATCTACACCGAATGGTACACCGAATGGTGTATCGGAGTGCCACATCGAAGTACCTGCAAGAATCGCTTGTTACTTTACATCAGTGGATTGATTTGTGCAAAGAATTTACCTGCAAATTAAAGCTCAGACAGTATATATTAATAATGTTCTAGTCGACTTGCACTTTTAAACATATTTAATAAACTAATTATATGGCCTTTGACTAAGACACTTTCAAATATGGTCACTTACTGCATGATGAATACCCTCCAGTTACGTGGTATTTTTAAATATGTTTAAAAGTGCAAGTCGACTAGAACATTATTAATATATACTGTCTGAGCTTTAATTTGCGGGTATGCCACCCGAACGCAGATTCTTACAAAGAGCTGAGCCCGACACAAACGAATACAATGTTTGAACTTTTAAAAAACAACAGAAGATCTATGCTGATTCAATTTTTTCCACATGCAGGTTCAATATAAGAGGGGAGAAGCAGGGATTAGCAGGAAAAGATCTGATGCATGGGGAAGTAGTCATCGACCTACACAGCCAGAACTTCCCAACTTGGCCTTGTAGCTCAGAGTAATTGCAACAACAGTTTTTCTGTGAGCGATCTATGTTTCAATGTCACCGATTGTGCAATTTTCATTTAAATCCTAATGATGCACATTTTCTAAGAAAAAATTGCAGTGCAAACAAGCCTTTACATGGCGAAAACGCTTCAAACTTACCTGGGTAAAACATTTTCTGTTGTTTTCCCTTTTTTCTACTTTTCCTGCTTGCTGCCAAAGTCCTATTGGTCACCCATTTCATCATCCTCTTGAAAACAAGAGGAAAAGGATCTGGTGTTTGATGGCTGGAAAGGGCAAAGAAAGATGAAGCGTATGCAAAGAATTGTGCAAAGATTTCGACATAAAGATAATTTTTTCAACATTAAAAAAGATTAAATTACTGAATGATGATAATTTCTGCTTTGTTTTCACAAATGCACTAAACTCTGCCATCAAATGGACACTTGGATCGCACGTAACCCAAATTGAATTATGTCAGCACCAACTGAACTGTTCGCGGCTTCGATGTCGAAGAAGAAAAATACTGGCTCTCGACCTTTCGAAGTCATACCAGGCACAGATTAGGAACGTTTTCAAAATTCGTTTTCAAAAGTCTGAAGTTCTGAATCTGTGGAAAAAATTGAATCAGCATCTTCTGTTGTAAACTAGACATGGGCAACAGACTAAGTGAGGTCACGAAACTAACACACGACATATATTTACAAGCTAAAGATAGTGTTAAAGTGTTGAACTTGCTTATTGAGTTCAGGTTTGAGTTGATTTATATGTAGGGCTTCTTTTATTTTAAGTGTAGAGGAAAAGTTGGCAGTGTCAAGAATAGTAAAACGAGAGTCTGTATAGTGTGATTTGCAGTTAGGTGATGAAAGGAAGTGTTTGTAGATGTGGGAGTTTTTGTCAGTGGAAGTGTGTTCTCTGTGGTAGATAAATGGCGCATTGTTTCGCCAATGTAACAAACGGCTACTACAAACCGCACAAGTAAATTTATAAAGCTAAAAAGATTTTTAATTTTATATTGTGAGAAAACCAATTTTATTTCGAAATGCAAGCAATAATGATTGATAATAGTTGTTAACCGTTTTTGTGTGATCTTGGAGTAGTGGCCTATATATGGCAGTTGAAAATATCGGACATTTTCAGTGTCTCTTTGTGGTTCTCGGCCAGAAACATTCGGGGCAGTGGAAGGATGTTTTTCTTCAGCAATTTTGATAATATTATCAATGAAGTGAAAGAAAAGAGTTTCTTTTCGCTAATTGAGCTGTTAATTTTTCGTGCTCTATCTATAAGCGTTCGAACCAAACCAGCTTTATAATTTAAGGGAGAAAAGCTAAGAAAATTAAGCAATAAGCCAGTATAAGTTTTCTTGTGAAAACTAATACTGGCTTATTGCTTAATTTTCAATAATATGCTCTGGATATCCATTGAGCAGTCAACTCTGCCAACGGCAACGGTATTTACAAATTTCTCTTATATAGTTTATATATATAATTTGAGTTCTGGCAGTTTAAATGCCCACACGCAAAACCTCACTTCAAAGGCAATTCAAAATAAGTTACATATAGAGCATTCACGTACCGTTATATCTTTTCTTGATCTACTGCCAATGAAACCAAACAGAAAAAAATATTTTTCTTATGCCTATATCACAGAATAACCTTATTCTGTGGCCTATATCGAGCACGGGCACAAACTGACCGAGCAATAAGACTGGGAATTACGTACATCATGATCGCGGCCGCATCATGCTTCACTTCAAGTCTTCAACGGCTGAAGATAGGCTTGGCTTCCAGAGTTTCTGTCGCAGTCGATAATCACGGAAGAGATCTTCAACGAATTCAGGGATTACCTTATGCTTTCTCTGCTTCTGAGAAATGCGCAGCGACCCGGCGCCGGAAGTTCTGAATCAGAGGATTCATTGCGTCAAAATTTCAAGAGAATGGGGGTATTTGATATTTCCATAGGTATTAAAACACAGATTTCTCTTGATTTCAATTTTATTTTGAAAAATCACGACGAGTGCTTGTTAGTTCATGGTGTTAATTAATTAACAATTACTTTAATGGTTTCCGTGTTTGGATGGCCTGATCCAAACACGCGGGAATGTCCCAAACTTGTCACATAGATCTGCGTGATCTCTCCTCACCGGTGGGACAATCTTTTGTAGGATTAGTCTAACTCCCCATGCGTTGAGTTCCAGTAACCGGTGAGACCCGTTCAGGTTCCAGTAACCGGTACAGTGTGCGTTTCCTTATAGAGCGGTGTAATCAGGGCCGCAACTAGAACGATAATTGGGGGGGTGTTTATTCATATATTCAGTTCTGCCCGACGGATGCTCTTTTGTAAGTGCAATAGCTCACAATGAAATCCGTCGGCAGAACTGAATATATGAATAAACCCCCCCCCACAACTATCGTTCTAAGTTACGGCCCCGGGTGTAATCGGGGGGCGCTGTTTAAAAATTCTTATTTGTCAATTGTAACAAGAACTTTAAACAAAAATAATTGAAAGTTAGATGTAGCCAAATGTTACCATTTTGACAACCTCCTCGCACAAATCACTGGAATCTCTGCCTTCACGACTGACCTGCGCATTACGAAAATTCCAAAGACCGATTTAACAACGATGCGTAGAATTGATCGCAATTAAACGAGTAAATACGGTATCTGGCATAAAGTTTAGATTAGGGGTAGCAAACCTTATCTTTTTTTCTGGGCTCGAGGTTTCCATCTGCATAAGTTCAGTAGAAACAAACTGAAAAAGATTAATAATTACTGTTATCAGAACAATGCTCGCAAAAGACGCCAAAGACGCCATCTTTTTGACTGCACAGTGCCTAAGACTGCTCTCCAGTTAATTATGTACAGCTCAAACCCTTTGAAATTGAACCAGGGCAAAGACAAAAGGCCTGGCACGAGTAATAAACAGATCTCGAGACGGAATTATTGGACGTACCTGGCCGGTTTGCGGTGTCGGAGATCATTTCGTTGTTGGACTAAAAGAGTTCAAACGGAATATTAGTTAAAAGCAGCATTGCTGATACACCTAGAATCAACTGCATCAGCAATCAGCATCACTAGACATTTGTTCCACAACATACCCGTCTCAGTAACGACCATGCAACCTCCTCAGTCGGATTCACCACTTGTGTATTGAGGTCGGAGTAGTTTATACGGAACTTTTTCACCAAACCCACAAGTCCATATCTGGACACTGCACAGACAAGACGCCCCCGATTACGGTACTGTTGAGAAAAAAATTAAAAATACACAAAAAATTTTCTAACACAAAAGGTTTTCCACGTTTTCATCACCGAAACATGATTTGGTTAATTGTTAGGGTTGCTCATATAGGTCCGGAATTATGTGAACAGTACAATCTTGGTATAGCGTGTTACTCAAATATATTTAGGAAACGAACATACAACTGATTCTTAAAGGGAACAACATTTAGCAGCTGCATGTATAAAATATGTATCGTTAAAATCAATGATTTACAAGTATTTAAGAAACGATGATGCCTGAGCTGGATGAACATTTCACTGATCTTACTTATGGGGGAGCGATTATAAGGTTGCGATGAGCTGACGGCATTTCCGGACTCAAGTTGCTGTTGATGTTGGATAGGCTTACATTTCTGCAAGTCAAAGGAGGAGAGCTTGAAACTAATTTTTGCTTAATTTTTGGCTTTTTTTCAAACAGTTCAAGAAAGAGCGCAAAAATGGGCAAGAAACGGCGAATTTTGACTATAGATGTGGCGCTGAACGGGCACTACGCGCCATAGCACTATACTCGCTTATCAAATTGGTAGCCAGACAGCATAGGAACGGTGACCGCAAGGATAGTATTGCAGCGGTAGTCTAGTGGTCACGAAGTATGCTTAACCATATAACGTTATGCGGGCCCCACCGCTACAACAACGTTTGCTATTTTTTTCTATTCCGATTTTTAGTTTGTTTCTTTTCTTTAGGGCTAGGGTTAGGGACAGGACATTTGAATGGCTTATTATAAAAGTTCTTGAGTTTGTTATACCCGAGTTTATATACCTTAATTAAATTAACTTGAGTCTCAAATCAAGCCTCAACAACACAATTGAAAATATTTTAAAAATCTCGTTTTATCGAGATTTTCAAAGAGTCCGGAAAAATTCCAAAAAGTACGAAAGTCCGACCAAAAACTCGTCGGAATTTTGAAAGTCCAAAAATTCCGTACACTTTTTTTGGAGTGATTTGCCCCTCGGATTTTGGTTTGAGTCTTTGAGATATATTTTTTAACAAAAATTATGTCGCCTGCATAGGCACTTTAAAAGATGAGATCTATATGTAAATCATCTGTGTCTCTACAGGTTAAAATAGATCATTTATTGCATAAATCCCATTAAAATATGAACCATTGAATAAATCTAAATATGTTAATATTGATTATCTAAATACGTTTTTACAATTATCACCAATTCACCCATCAAATTATTTCATAATGACCCAATCATTTCACAATCAATTCAGCAACGCCAGAAGATTTAATTAAATTATGCTGGAGAACATAATTTAATTTCATGTTCTGTTAACAATGTTTTAGCATCCCCAATGTAGAATTTCCCATTCTTAAATTCATTTGATAGAGTTCCATTCGAGGTGAGTAGGCTTCGCATAGTATCTTCTACATCAAACACCGTAATGAGTACAGGTGTCCACTCGCTCGGACAAGTTTGCCAAAACGACGCTTTTGCAGTCATGAAGGCTTTATTGACTGTACATTGGATAAATAAACCTCCCTTTCAAGCGACAAATAAAGTCAACACCCTTCATATTTGGAGTGGCATAACATATATTCTTTTCTGGTTCAAACGTAGACGTAAACTGTTTTTGATTGAGAACCACTCCTGCTTGGGATAACGTGGTTAAGTTTACTTCTTTCCTGTCCTTCGTCATGCCCAATAACGTCAAACGCGCCGATGCTATATTTTGACAAATAGAGGACAAGTGTGCTCCATTAATGGACAATTATTTTCATTGAGAAAAGTAGTGCGAGGTATCTGCTAGTATTTAAGGGCTGAAACTACTGTCGTCAAATAAAGTTTACCTACCACTAGTAAAGTTCGAAAATATGAGTGTTTCAAAAATGTATCCGCGAACATTGCTTTCACCTTTGAGGTTGACTTGCTTGAGTAGTTCAACCTAAAAACAAAAACATTTTGACCGGTGAACGAAGAGTGCCTCCACTCTCGGAAAACCGCCAGCTGGGTTCTTTTCCCAACAATTTACTTGGTGGCTTCAATAGCTAGACGCTTTTTTCATTGCAATAGATACACGCCATTACTATATTCACGGCACTTACCGTTTCGTCCCGAAGGGAAACATCAGTGGAAAGATGCTGGTTGACAACATGCGTTGCAAGAGGAGACACTGATGTTAACACTTCATCCGAAGTTTCCTTCAGACAGGTCCAAGACACATTCATTTTGTCCACGAGGGTGGGCAATTCTGTGGGGAAGCCCTCTCGAAACACATAACGCTAGTGCACAGATATGAGCATATCGTGATCCGGGACTAAGAGATTGAACATCTTCGTTAAGAACATAATGTAAATTTTTGATTGTGCTGCGTGTGACTCTTGCAATAATAGCTTCTATATCTTCTCCTTTTCTTTTTTGTACTCTACATTCTTGTATTAATGACTCAACCAAACGGGGAACAAACCCAACGTACTCCAAAAACTCTCTTATCTTAGGCTGTAAAAGATAAATACAACAGATGAGGCGAAAGATTCCGGATTCGTCACGAAACCGAAACGTTTTAGTACCGGATTCATGTTGCCGTTCACACACACAGCGATGAATCCGAAAAAATCATCTCGGTTTTGTGCCGTATCCGGAAACTTGGTGAAGTTTTTATTGGCCCGAATTAAGCTATAGCAATGAGTTAATTCATGCGAACGTATGCAAATTTCAGCAGTTTTATTAATTCTCGCACGACAGTTTAAACTTTTTTATCCCCCAGGGAATTGGGTAGAGCTTCAATGTGTAAGTAATCTCATCATAGCGAACCGCTTGAAGAAAACAAAACCAGAGGGGAAACAGTTCCGTAACTTCGGCCTGATCGCGGTTGTACAGCGGTAGCGACATGAGAGTTGGGGACCAAATGACGTCAAAATGACGCAAAAGACGCCATCTTTTTGACTACACAGTGCCTAAGACTGCTCTCCAGTTAATTATGTACAGCTCAAACCCTTTGAAATTGAACCAGGGCAAAGACAAAAGGCCTGGCACGAGTAATAAACAGATCTCGAGACGGAATTATTGGACGTACCTCGTTTGCGGGGTCGGAGATCATTTCGTTGTAGGACTAAAAGAGTTCAAACGGAATATTAGTTAAAAGCAGCATTGCTGATACACCTAGAATCAACTGCATCAGCAATCAAGCATCACTAGACATTTGTTCCACAACATACCCGTCTCAGTAACGACCATGCAACCTCCTCAGTCGGATTCACCACTTGTGTATTGAGGTCGGAGTAGTTTATACGGAACTTTTTCAGCAAACCCACAAGTCCATATCTGGACACTGCACAGACAAGACGCCCCCGATTACGGTACTGTTGAGAAAAAAATTAAAAATACACAAAAAATTTTCTAACACAAAAGGTTTTCACGTTTTCATCACCGAAACATGATTTGGTTAATTGTTAGGGTTGCTCATATAGGTCCGGAATTATGTGAACAGTACAATCTTGGTATAGCGTGTTACTCAAATATATTTAGGAAACGAACATACAACTGATTCTTAAAGGGAACAACATTTAGCAGCTGCATGTATAAAATATGTATCGTTAAACTCAATGATTTACAAGTATTTAAGAAACGATGATGCCTGAGCTGGATTGATGTTACAATTATCAACATTCACTGATCTTACTTATGGGGAGCGATTATAAGGTTGCAATGAGCTGACGGCATTTCCGGACTCAAGTTGCTGTTGATGTTGGATAGGCTTACATTTCTGCAAGTCAAAGGAGGAGAGCTTGAAACTAATTTTTGCTTAATTTTTGGCTTTTTTCAAACAGTTCAAGAAAGAGCGCAAAAATGGGCAAGAAACAGCGAATTTTGACTATAGATGTTGCGCTGAACGGGCACTACACGCCATAGCACTATACTCGCTTATCAAATTGGTAGCCAGACAGCATAGGAACGGTGACCGCAAGGATAGGAACAGTGTTAGACAACACGAGACGTTTTATGTCATGTGTGTCTAAGTTCGGGTCGTAAATACGAATTTTAGCCAATCAGAATACACAAAATATTTCCGGCCGCGCGGCCCCTTTTGGAGACTGGGGCGACGTTTAGCGGCATGAATGTTACGGCTAAAACTTGGAATAATCTGCCAAATGAGCTAAAAGATCTCGCGTTCACTGATAAAGAGTTTAGAAACAAATTGCAAGACTTTATAAATGAAAATAATTCATTTCTAATAATTTTTCAAGTTGCCAGTAATGGTCCAAATTTATTACCATATTAAGCCGAATTTATTTGGGAATTTTATATGCATGGACATACAGGAAATTCTTGAAAAGCAGCAAACAAATGTTTAAAATTCTCCAGAATTACCTGTGTCCAGCCCTTGACGTACATACGGATCAGGTCGTTTAAGCATGTGTAGTTCACCATTTCGTGTATGTTGTCAACAAACAACCAAACTGGATATTCTTTCTCTTCATTACCCGATAATGGCGATATAGTCTTATATTAACAGAAAGAAAACAAACGTTAATGGGTAGATGGTAGAATTTCCATATCATTGGGTAATCAACAAATAACAATTTTCTATCAGTTTCAGGACGAACCTTCAATTTTTCAGACAAGCGCACCACGTCGTGATCACTTGAAAGGTCCTAAACAGAAAGGAAACGGTTTACGCATAAATTTTATTCGCTGGATAAATTGCGTTGTACGAAGCATGAATAGCTCTATCCAACGGATAAAAAAGCACTATCCATTGGATAAATTAATACGTTGGTCGCTATCCAATTGATAAAATTTAGGTTTAGGTCGCTTGTACCCTTTAAAAATGTTGCTTCTGCTGCTTTTCTTGAACAAAACAAAAGAGTCTGGCGGGGAATCAACAAGAGCTTGTTCGAAAAAGCACGGGAAAAGATTTTTGTCGGGATAACGTGAAGACAACACAGATGGTCAATCCTCTGATTCTGAATATTACTTACAAAATAATGTTTCGGTCTTTTGCATGATTCATGTAACATGATTAGCGTGGTTGTCTTTCCCACTCCTTTGGCTCCTTCAAAAAAGTTACAAACACATTAGATCACTCAGTCACTAATGAGCGTGCAATCCACTAGAGAGTCTGCAGTCGGATAGGATTGCAAAATTGCCACTTACCCAACAAAACAATCGGTAGAGAGGCCGTTTCTATCCAGGAAGCTATTGCTTCATATACGGGAGTGTTTATAAACTGAAAAAGATAAAATGCAGCCATTAATCTGCTTGCCGTCTGTGATCAGTAGCCAACGGAGCCAGCATATTTTAATTTGTCGATCACATCTGAAATAACGGCCGGCGACCGGCGGTTCCCTAGCCAAAACGCGCAAACTTCTAGCGCAAACTTTTACCCGACGTCCAAAAAATCTCAATGAATCGGGTAAATTTTATGCGATGAGCAGATGAGCACATGTGCATAACTGCGATGAGCAGATGAGCACATGCTCATAACTGCTCATGAGCACATGCTCATTTGCTCATAAAACTGCATCACTGTTCGATAACAAGCCATTCCCACACCTCCAGTGGTAAGGGAATGAGCTGTCAATTTTGCGGAAGATACTTTAGCCGCGGTTACAATCAGCGCAGACACGAACAGGAACACTGTCCACTACGAGAACAAGAAAGAAACATGTCTGAAACAGACTCGGACAGTCAAGAAAGAGATTTCCAAGATGAGTCTCGACCACTTCCACTCAGCAGTCTGGAAGTTCGACGGTGTCTGACTCAGAATCCGAAGAAGAAATGGATCCCTGGATACCGTTAATAGAAGAAGCAAAACAAAGAAGCAACACAGCTTTTGAGGAAATGGAAGAAAGTTTTATAAGCAGTGGTTTCGATGAGCATACCGCTAAAGAGAAAGCTTACTTGAATGCTATGCGTAAACTCCAGAAAGAATTAGAAAATATCTACATAGAGCGCCTTTTGTGGATGAGACAAATAAAGAAAGATCCCGTACATAAGAAAATAATGCACACAAAAGATGCGTTTATTCAAAATGATGATTTTGACCCAGAAGAAGCAATAGAAGCTGCAGTTGATAAGAGAAAGTTCCTCATTAAAAGGCTTTTAAACGACCACGAGTGAAGATGTGAAAGAAAATAAGGGCAGTGATGATGATGACGATGATGATGATGAAGATTAGAATTTAAACTTAGCCAAATTGTTTACTAAACCTTCCTTAAGGAAACCATGGCAAACGAGCAAAAAGCGATAACGATTTAGAAGCAATTATTTTTTATTGCTGCATGTAACTAATTGCCAGACAATTGCAAGACAAATAAATGTTAAAATCATCTTGCATGTCTGAAATTTCCTTACTCCCCATGCTACGACTAACACATTACCTACAGACGTGGATTTGTTAGCAAAACTCATTTTTTTCGTAATCAAACAATAGGTTAAACTGTTTAATTTATAGTCTATCATCACTGGTATGGTAATTCTCCATATTCTGCACACAATGTTCACGTGAAATGTTAACGCGTACATCAGATCAGCGTCGTATACATATACATTGTCTATTTATCTGTATACGCATACAACGCATACCGTATACAATGTTCACGTGAAATGTTAACGCATACATTGTTTAATTATTCAAATCCTGTATATAATGCTCACATGATATGTTAATGTATTCCTTATGCATGTGATGTTGTACAATATCAACAGCCACTAATAAAATGTTCAGTTGTACATAACCCTTGGCGATGGATCTCGTCGTTAAAACTGTACTCCTAACGTTATCGAAGACTCAGAATAACTTTGAAATGGATCTAAAGATACTGTTGACAAAATGTTTCCCATCTCAAAGTTGGATTCTGTACAAAACGTGAATATAATTTGGTAGGAAGGGTAAAGTGTTCCATGTGAACGTCAAAGAACCAATCGGGTACAACGTGTACATTGGCGAAACGTCATGGCCGATGAGTTATGATAATAATTGGTGGATAAAAGTCACCGACGGCATGCTGAGACGTGATCAGATGTTTCTACTAAACTCGTTCTTATTTCCCTCAAACATTAATTTTTACTTATTGATTATTGCACATCTCATCAAAATACAACGAACCGTAAGCTTAAGTGACTTTAGAGCAATAGTTAATCGTATCCTAAATCACTATCTACTAGCGGAGTAAACAAACTAAAAAAGGACTATAATGAGTTATTTGCTATTTTTACAGCCTACGCAGCACTAAAACTTTTTTCAAATATAGTATGTCGTGTATACATGGAGTCAAATCTACAGGAACATCGTGTTTGAACCTACTTTTTGTCCATGATTGTAGTCTTTTTTCCGAATTTTGTCCTACTACAAATTTTGTCTACCGTTTTTCTTAGTCGGATTATAACATACAAGTCACACACTAATTAAAGGGTATTGGCAACATATTTTTTCTTGCCGTATATTGATAGAGGCAAGAGATATGTTACAGTACCGCCTGGAATCATTAGTGCATCCGGCCTCGCAAAAACCTAGATTTTATCATGATAAGGGCATGAGTAATACTTCGACATTATCTCAGTTTTACCCTTGACCACGCTCAAAGAGAGCGGCGGGATACAGTGATGGGAAAGCAAAAATTTTGAAAACTTACGTTGCATGCGACCGACTCTGCCATGATGCAGTAATTGATAATCAAGTCAATCTGAAAAAAAAAACTAAAAATAAATTAAATGGAAAATACATTGTGGCAATGGCATGTAAAACTTTTCTTTTGCTCGACTTTCGAAAAGCTAAAAAACACTCGCTTACGGCTCGTGTTTTTATTACGCTTTTCGAAAGTCTCGCAACATCCCGCGTGTTTCACTACGGACTGGAGTATGTTTCTTTTTATACAATATATGGCGTCTGTTGAGCAGCGAATATTTTGATTTTGAATATTAACAAAATCAAAATCGGAGCACATGAAATTCAATATGGCCGAGATCGGGAGTTGGCATCATTTCATAAATTTACATAGTAAGCTTAATTAACATATATATTGCTAACATATTATATCCAAAACAAAGTCGAAATCCTCGGTCTCGTAGTTAACTCCATGGTTTCCGCCATCTTGCAAAAGTTCGCCCGCGTTATATTTCACTAAAACACATCGCTCAACAGGCGCTACTGTGCCTTTAAAATTCCAATTACACCAAGGGCCAATGGGGCCTGCATGTGTAATTGAGATTATATGAGCAAACGTAGGGAGAAATATATGGGAAAACAAATGGTAAGGCTTGCCTTTCCTCATGCCACCCCTCCCCATGTGAAGACACGAAGTCTTAAGCAAGAGGACGTTTAGTCTTTTTATCTATTTCGGACGGCATTTTGAAACACGTAAGGACAGAAACGTTTCAAATTGAGAAACATATAATGCCACTGATTTAGTTGGAAAACTTTCAGATTTGGAGCGAAGATTTGTAAAATTACAGCTCTAAAGCATTTTTTCTTTTTCAAAATTTAGCAAAACTTTTCAAAGTAGTTCCGCTTATTAATTAGCCGCGTCGAAAGACGTTGGCTCATGTTTTCGGTAGCGTTTTTATTGCTTGGGCTACCCAGCTAAGGCTTGCTGGCCGGCATGCTGTCCTGAAGACTTGCCTGCTTGTTTTGTTTTTTCCTTCTTTCAATTGTTTCTTCGTTAGAATGGGGTCAGTCTTGATGACTACTTCCCCATGCATCAGATCTTTTCCTGCTAATCCCTGCTTCTCCCCTCTTATATTGAACCTGCATGTGGAAAAAATTGAATCAGCATAGATCTTCTGTTGTTTTTTAAAAGTTCAAACATTGTATTCGTTTGTGTCGGGCTCAGCTCTTTGTAAGAATCTGCGTTCGGGTGGCATACCCGCAAATTAAAGCTCAGACAGTATATATTAATAATGTTCTAGTCGACTTGCACTTTTAACATATTTAAAAATACCACGTAACTGGAGGGTATTCATCATGCAGTAAGTGACCATATTTGAAAGTGTCTTAGTCAAAGGCCATATAATTAGTTTATTAAATATGTTTAAAAGTGCAAGTCGACTAGAACATTATTAATATATACTGTCTGAGCTTTAATTTGCAGGTAAATTCTTTGCACAAATCAATCCACTGATGTAAAGTAACAAGCGATTCTTGCAGGTACTTCGATGTGGCACTCCGATACACCATTCGGTGTACCACATGGAGTCGATTCTTTAAACATATTTAAAAATATCAAATGATTTCGTAATTGGTCCAAATTTCTGCCTTGATTATGACTATTGATTTTGTGCACAGAATGTACTTGTTTGCACAGATTAAAGCTCGGACAGTGTCTTTCTGATGAAGAATCAGTTGAAATGTTTAAAATCTAACCACGCTTTCATTGTTTTCTTAAACATACTTCTCCGCTTTGATTTTCTAATAGGTCCAAACTTTGTGATAGGTCCAAACTGTTGCTTTAAGTGCAGATTAAAGCTCAGACAGTAGCTTTCGGTGCATGGAAGAATCGGTTGTAATTTTTTAAATCTCTGTGCCCAAATCAATAGTGATATTCACCCATCCACTGAAAGGTTGTCTTTCCAAAAGCTAAACCGTAAACTCTGAGCGTGCAAGGGATGATAGGTTATTGCTTACTTAGACCCATAAACTCGGATAAACAATATACCTAGGCTATTGGTAAAACACGAGCACGGAGTACGGAGCACGAAGCAGAAAATTAAACAACTTACTTTCATCAATCAACTTTCCAAATAGGCGGTTACGTCAAATTGCACTACAAAAGAAGAATAACCAAAGAAACTATTAAACGGGTCAGATCATGTAAAAATATAAAGAGAGGAACTTCACACTTCACTAGCGAATACTGAGTTAATGCTCGAATTCAATGCCAACCTTCGCCAATGGTTTGGTTTCTTTCTTTTTTTTTCTTTTTCTTTTTTTGCAAACCCACACTAAAAAGACAAAATAATCGCTTAGTCAACGATTGTTATGCTTAGTCAAGGCCATACTGGGGTAAAAAATATCATCGAGGATATTCTAATAGTAACTCAGATAACTGTCTGAAAAGTCTGGTTCACACAAATGTCTAAAGGGCAAATTATTGGACGATGAGAAGATAGTAGCGTGCGCAAGAGGAAACCACGATGCAGTATTAAATGTGCATTACTAAAGAGTCTGGATGAAGTCCAAAAATACTTACAAGGAAGACAACGTCTTTGTTTCGATTTCTTCCAGGTGGTTGCGAAGCGGCCCCCCGAAAATTTGCCTCATCAACCTGGCATCTCCCAAAGCACTGTGACGATCTGTGATAAAAATGAATGAAGCATTCACTGGTTCGTACAAGCCACATAAATTTCCTGGTTATGTTGGCACAAAACATAAATTTGTTTACGTCGGCACAAAACAAAAGATCGCGATCTATAAGAAAACACGTACCTTTAAAGTCTTCACCAGGGAAGAATAATTTGTGCAAACCTTCCATTCCTAATTTCGTTTGTTTGTCAAATATTGGCAAACCGTTTTCTTGAAGCTGAAATGTATAAAAAAGCATTGTCCAATATTCGAGAACACAAATTTCGGAATCAGATGCAGAACTCACCTTTACACAAAGTTGGTATGTGTCCCCCACACGAAGTCTCGGGTACAAATAGCCGGATGAGGCTTTGTGGCGAGAGATGTTGTCCACCAACATCGGAAAGTCCGACCGATTGCCACCATGAGCAAGCAAAACTGAGGAACGAAATAAACTGTTATTTAGGTATTATTTTTTAAACAAATTTATTTTTATACATCATGACAACTCTAGTTAGATATCTACACCGAATGGTACACCGAATGGTGTATCGGAGTGCCACATCGAAGTACCTGCAAGAATCGCTTGTTACTTTACATCAGTGGATTGATTTGTGCAAAGAATTTACCTGCAAATTAAAGCTCAGACAGTATATATTAATAATGTTCTAGTCGACTTGCACTTTTAAACATATTTAATAAACTAATTATATGGCCTTTGACTAAGACACTTTCAAATATGGTCACTTACTGCATGATGAATACCCTCCAGTTACGTGGTATTTTTAAATATGTTTAAAAGTGCAAGTCGACTAGAACATTATTAATATATACTGTCTGAGCTTTAATTTGCGGGTATGCCACCCGAACGCAGATTCTTACAAAGAGCTGAGCCCGACACAAACGAATACAATGTTTGAACTTTTAAAAAACAACAGAAGATCTATGCTGATTCAATTTTTTCCACATGCAGGTTCAATATAAGAGGGGAGAAGCAGGGATTAGCAGGAAAAGATCTGATGCATGGGGAAGTAGTCATCGACCTACACAGCCAGAACTTCCCAACTTGGCCTTGTAGCTCAGAGTAATTGCAACAACAGTTTTTCTGTGAGCGATCTATGTTTCAATGTCACCGATTGTGCAATTTTCATTTAAATCCTAATGATGCACATTTTCTAAGAAAAAATTGCAGTGCAAACAAGCCTTTACATGGCGAAAACGCTTCAAACTTACCTGGGTAAAACATTTTCTGTTGTTTTCCCTTTTTTCTACTTTTCCTGCTTGCTGCCAAAGTCCTATTGGTCACCCATTTCATCATCCTCTTGAAAACAAGAGGAAAAGGATCTGGTGTTTGATGGCTGGAAAGGGCAAAGAAAGATGAAGCGTATGCAAAGAATTGTGCAAAGATTTCGACATAAAGATAATTTTTTCAACATTAAAAAAGATTAAATTACTGAATGATGATAATTTCTGCTTTGTTTTCACAAATGCACTAAACTCTGCCATCAAATGGACACTTGGATCGCACGTAACCCAAATTGAATTATGTCAGCACCAACTGAACTGTTCGCGGCTTCGATGTCGAAGAAGAAAAATACTGGCTCTCGACCTTTCGAAGTCATACCAGGCACAGATTAGGAACTTTTCAAAATTCGTTTTCAAAAGTCTGAAGTTCTGAATCTGTGGAAAAAATTGAATCAGCATCTTCTGTTGTAAACTAGACATGGACAACAGACTAAGTGAGGTCACGAAACTACACGACAATATATTTACAAGCTAAAGATAGTGTTAAACTTGCTTATTGAGTTCAGGTTTGAGTTGATTTATATGTAGGGCTTCTTTTATTTTAAGTGTAGAGGAAAAGTTGGCAGTGTCAAGAATAGTAAAACGAGAGTCTGTATAGTGTGATTTGCAGTTAGGTGATGAAAGGAAGTGTTTGTAGATGTGGGAGTTTTTGTCAGTGGAAGTGTGTTCTCTGTGGTAGATAAATGGCGCATTGTTTCGCCAATGTAACAAACGGCTACTACAAACCGCACAAGTAAATTTATAAAGCTAAAAAGATTTTTAATTTTATATTGTGAGAAAACCAATTTTATTTCGAAAGGCAAGCAATAATGATTGATAATAGTTGTTAACCGTTTTTGTGTGATCTTGGAGTAGTGGCCTATATATGGCAGTTGAAAATATCGGACATTTTCAGTGTCTCTTTGTGGTTCTCGGCCAGAAACATTCGGGGCAGTGGAAGGATGTTTTTCTTCAGCAATTTTGATAATATTATCAATGAAGTGAGAAGAAAAGAGTTTCTTTTCGCTAATTGAGCTGTTAATTTTTCGTGCTCTATCTATAAGCGTTCGAACCAAACCAGCTTTATAATTTAAGGGAGAAAAGCTAAGAAAATTAAGCAATAAGCCAGTATAAGTTTTCTTGTGAAAACTAATACTGGCTTATTGCTTAATTTTCAATAATATGCTCTGGATATCCATTGAGCAGTCAACTCTGCCAACGGCAACGGTATTTACAAATTTCTCTTATATAGTTTATATATATAATTTGAGTTCTGGCAGTTTAAATGCCCACACGCAAAACCTCACTTCAAAGGCAATTCAAAATAAGTTACATATAGAGCATTCACGTACCGTTATATCTTTTCTTGATCTACTGCCAATGAAACCAAACAGAAAAAATATTTTTCTTATGCCTATATCACAGAATAACCTTATTCTGTGGCCTATATCGAGCACGGGCACAAACTGACCGAGCAATAAGACTGGGAATTACGTACATCATGATCGCGGCCGCATCATGCTTCACTTCAAGTCTTCAACGGCTGAAGATAGGCTTGGCTTCCAGAGTTTCTGTGCAGTCGATAATCACGGAAGAGATCTTCAACGAATTCAGGGATTACCTTATGCTTTCTCTGCTTCTGAGAAATGCGCAGCGACCCGGCGCCGGAAGTTCTGAATCAGAGGATTCATTGCGTCAAAATTTCAAGAGAATGGGGGTATTTGATATTTCCATAGGTATTAAAACACAGATTTCTCTTGATTTCAATTTTATTTTGAAAAATCACGACGAGTGCTTGTTAGTTCATGGTGTTAATTAATTAACAATTACTTTAATGGTTTCCGTGTTTGGATGGCCTGATCCAAACACGCGGGAATGTCCCAAACTTGTCACATAGATCTGCGTGATCTCTCCTCACCGGTGGGACAATCTTTTGATAGGATTAGTCTAACTCCCCATGCGTTGAGTTCCAGTAACCGGTGAGACCCGTTCAGGTTCCAGTAACCGGTACAGTGTGCGTTTCCTTATAGAGCGGTGTAATCAGGGCCGCAACTAGAACGATAATTGGGGGGGTGTTTATTCATATATTCAGTTCTGCCCGACGGATGCTCTTTTGTAAGTGCAATAGCTCACAATGAAATCCGTCAGGCAGAACTGAATATATGAATAAACCCCCCCCCCACAACTATCGTTCTAAGTTACGGCCCCGGGTGTAATCGGGGGCGGCGCTGTTTAAAAAATTCTTATTTGTCAATTGTAACAAGAACTTTAAACAAAATAATTGAAAGTTAGATGTAGCCAAATGTTACCATTTTGACAACCTCCTCGCACAAATCACTGGAATCTCTGCCTTCACGACTGACCTGCGCATTACGAAAATTCCAAAGACCGATTTAACAACGATGCGTAGAATTGATCGCAATTAAACGAGTAAATACGGTATCTGGCATAAAGTTTAGATTAGGGGTAGCAAACCTTATCTTCTTTTTCTGGGCTCGAGGTTTCCATCTGCATAAGTTCAGTAGAAACAAACTGAAAAAGATTAATAATTACTGTTATCAGAACAATGCTCGCAAAAGACGCCAAAGACGCCATCTTTTTGACTGCACAGTGCCTAAGACTGCTCTCCAGTTAATTATGTACAGCTCAAACCCTTTGAAATTGAACCAGGGCAAAGACAAAAGGCCTGGCACAAGTAATAAACAGATCTCGAGACGGAATTATTGGACGTACCTGGCCGGTTTGCGGTGTCGGAGATCATTTCGTTGTTGGACTAAAAGAGTTCAAACGGAATATTAGTTAAAAGCAGCATGCTGATACACCTAGAATCAACTGCATCAGCAATCAGCATCACTAGACATTTGTTCCACAACATACCCGTCTCAGTAACGACCATGCAACCTCCTCAGTCGGATTCACCACTTGTGTATTGAGGTCGGAGTAGTTTATACGAACTTTTTCAGCAAACCCACAAGTCCATATCTGGACACTGCACAGACAAGACGCCCCCGATTACGGTACTGTTGAGAAAAAAATTAAAAATACACAAAAAATTTTCTAACACAAAAGGTTTTCACGTTTTCATCACCGAAACATGATTTGGTTAATTGTTAGGGTTGCTCATATAGGTCCGGAATTATGTGAACAGTACAATCTTGGTATAGGTGTTACTCAAATATATTTAGGAAACGAACATACAACTGATTCTTAAAGGAACAACATTTAGCAGCTGCATGTATAAAATATGTATCGTTAAACTCAATGATTTACAGTATATTAAGAAACGATGATTCCTGAGGCTGGATTCGATGTTACAATTATCAACACTTCACTGATCTTACTTATGGGGGAGCGATTATAAGGTTGCGATGAGCTGACGGCATTTCCGGACTCAAGTTGCTGTTGATGTTGGCTAGGCTTACATTTCTGCAAGGTCAAAGGAGGAGGCTTGAAACTAATTTTTGCTTATTTTTGGCTTTTTTTCAAACAGTTCAAGAAAGAGCGCAAAAATGGGCAAGAAACGGCGAATTTTGACT